AGTAGCTTTTGTAAACAGACACTTAGATTGAAATCATTATTTTTTAAATTTTTGATAGAATTCCCTCTATGCCCTCATATTCTCTATAAGTCTGTGTTTTTGTTTTTGTTTTGTTTTTTTTTGGTTTTCGGACTACATCTTGGAGTTGAGAATGGGCATAGTACCCTCTTGATTAAAGCTGAGAACTACTCCTTAAACAAACCACTCATATACACCCCATCATATAAATGGACTTGTGTCTTCTAGTCTTCTCACTGAACCTTTCCTTCACAATAAACTGGGTATGAACCGATTGTCTTCTTTAAGGTTCCATAGGGAACATTTTTATCACCTTACTGCTGAGCTGACCCAAGGATTACAGAAGATCACAGGGCATATGGAAATCATAGGTTTTAACTTTTATTATGTCAACTCCCTGCCCTGTTTAATTTTCTTGTTCAGTTGCCCCAGGTTGGCATAGTAAGAGCCTGAAAGCAGTGCTCTGTAGTGGATGATCATTGGCCTAGGAGGCATGAGCCCTGGGTTCTAGCTCTTGTCACACCTGCACAGCTGGTCACCTCAGTTAGATCATTTTTCTGGTTCTCAGTGTTCATGTCCACAAAAATCAGGGATTAAAAACTTAGATGCTGATAAAAGTTAATCATTTAGGGTAAATGAGATAAGCAAATCTGGTGTGTTCTATGATAAACTAGAGTTTATTTTCTCCATACAACCCCACTCCAAAGAGAAGCACCCAACTCCAATTGCTGCCGTGGGAATGAGGACCACTGTATTTCCAGATCTTTTGTGTTTTCTAGAGATTCCAGCTATCTGGATTTTTTTTTTGGAAAGGATCTATCTCAATATCTAAGCATTGGCAACAAATACAAAAATTCAAAAATTAAACTTTCTGTGGCCCTAGTAAAATATGTCTCAATCCTTGGTTACCAGTCATAACCCCTAGACTAAATGGTATTTAAAGCCCCTTCCAGTTCTGAAATGTTATACTTTAATTATCCAAATGGTCTGAATTGAAGAAAGAATTGGTATTTGAATATGAGGAATATTTTCCTGGCATCCAGTTCTTATATTTTGAAACAGGTGACCATGGGGAATTGTGAAATGCCCTTCAAGTGATCTTGAAGACTAAGAGACACCTCCTTCTATCTGGAATTAGTTAGGAGCAATTGCAGGGAGGAGGTTGAGTGAGATGTTCTCTTGCAATTTTTCTCAATTGGGATGTTGTGAAAATGGTCTTTTATGAGTTTTGTTTCAAATGTCCTTGGGTCCTTTCAGGGGAGGAAGGAGGTGGTAGTTAGGTTTCTGATTCCCAGGACCCCTCCCAACTCAATTCCTGGAATCATCCTGGGGGACTCTGTAAACTGAAATTTAAAGTTACAGTTTGTAGTTTCCCCTCTAAGGTTTAGATTAGGTTTCATAACTTGGAACTGAAATCAGGGCAGCAGTCAGAGTGTGGATGAAAATGTCTATAGCTTTGGTTGTCAGCATGCTAATGAAAACCAGAGAAGGCAATAAATAAAGGTGGGGATGAGTGATGGCAGAGATAAGAGCCTTTTAACCTCACTTTTTTTCACTGTAATTCCCTCCTTAGGAAAATTGATCGTGATTACCCCAATCCATTTTCTGATGGATTAAAAACACCTAGGAAACCCACAAACTTCTTTTATGCACTATGTGTACTCAAGCCCACATAGTGTATAAAAAGTTCAACAAGCAGAGAGAATTCAATGTCGTTACTGATTGTATCAGGATAAATACTAGGTCTCTGATTCCAAAGTAACTGCAGCAAAGTAAACACACCACCACCCTTAAAAGGAGACAGAAGATAGAGGCAAGAAAGCAAGACAGAACACAGATGTATTTGATTACTAATCAAGCCTATTTCAACAGCGCAAAATGTATTAATGGGAAAGAGGGAGGTAGGTTGAAGCCCAGGCAGACCAAGCTAGGCGAAGGATCTACTTTCATGTATAAATGAATAACATGGATCATTGACAGTGAACCCAAGTGCTTTTGATGGCTAGATAGGAAGATAGGGCTGTCTGAGATTGTAATCTTTTCCATCACCACTATTATCACTGAAACTTTAAGTGCTAGTCTGTACACCTGATGAGTGATGGGCAGAAAGTTCTAATTAGATATCATACATGGCACTCGTGTTGTTTTATGTCTCCAGCATGAGTTCTCCCTTTGCATAACAACACCTTGAATTTCCTTTGGGGTAGCACTCTTCTGGCATTGCATGCAGTTTTGGTGGGCCTCTCAATTGACTGGCAATGTGGCCAAGGGCTGGAGATAAATAGGACCAACAAGATCTGCTCTCTGAGGAATTTGAATCTTAAGAGAAGTTACACAAGGGTAAGTCCAGAGATTGTCCTGATAGAGATAGTTGATTTGTGCCTGAATGCTATTCTAGGCCCTCTCATTTTCTGAGGTCTAACAGTTCTTTTTTTTTTTTTTTCTGTGATTCACAGAACTATCCCATAGCCTTAAAATAGATTCTACTTTATATCTAAGTTAGTCAGAGTCACTTCTGTTGCTTACAACCTAAGAAACCTAAAAGATATATCAAGCATCTTCCTTGTGATCTCACCAGCTGAGAATTGATGGTGAGAAGACAGACTGAGAATCTATAAAAAATTATTAGTAAGTGAGTTTAGTGAAGTTACTAGATACAAATTCAATCTACAAAAATCAATTAAAATTTGGGGGCAGCGATAGGGTTCTGAAATAGAATCTCAGAGCTGATGATTTGCTGGTGTATATAAATCAACATTTCTATATACATATATAAATAAATATATTTAACAAATAATTTAGAAATAAAATTTAAAAAGCATACCATCTACAGTAACATCAAAAACATATAGTTGGGATAAATCTACCAATGAATCTATATATGTACAAACCTCTACACAGATATCCACAAAACATCATTGAGATAAAACCAAAAAGACCTAAATAAGTAGATTCTTGTTGTCAGCCATCAAATTTTGGGGTAGCAATAGATTTCTGAAATAGAATCTCAGAGCTGATGGTGGTACAGTACAAGTCCATCTTTATGTAGATAAGGAGAATGAGGCTAGAAGGATAAAACATCCTCTTCAAGTTAGCCCAGACAGACAAAAATAGCCCTGAATTAGCACCAGCTTACTGCAGTTTGCTGCCAATCTGGACATCCATATGCTGGGGCTAGACCCACACTCCTCATCTCTCAGGGCCATTGCTAATATAATCCTGGCCTCTAGTTTGCTCTGCCACTTTTTAAGGACATTCTAGCAATGGAGGTTCTGTCTTCTTTCTTTCCATCTTTCCTGAATATTCTGGTACCCATGGAAAACCAATGGGCTGGACTCACTATCTATAAGATTCTTCGGCTGGATTAGGCATCTAAATTCATGTTGATTTCTAGGGTTGGTAACCTGCCATACCTCCGACTCTTTGAAACTGGCAAGTCTTCGCTCGAAGACTCACTCATTACCTATAGCTCAAGGGACCATATTGAAACAAGAGACATCTTATCATTACGGTTTCCCATTGTCTGGTCACAGACATTGTATAAACGTCACTTCTTCTATTCCTTCTGGAATAACAAGACTTTAGTAACCAGACTAAGAACTGCAGAATTTTTCCCCACTTCCACCCTTGATTTTCCCTCTGCTGTTTTTTCCTCTCTTCCATGGGTTATTTTTTCCAACTTGGGAGACAAGGAGAATGTGTATCCCAGGTAAAGTGAGGAGGAAAGGGGGAGGAGCTATGGCACAGACACATCAAAAGAGCCCTTTGTGCTCAGGGCACATTATTCCTGGAATCCAATCAAGTGCCCAAAAACCCAACCAAGCTTTTCAGACAGCACAGAAACCGGTCATGCAGGCCTCTTGGGCTCTGCTTTTTTAAAGCTTTATAGGGTACACTGAATTATTTGGTTGGGTCTTTTCAACCGTGTGACATTTTGGTTTTCAATGGCACAAATGGAGTTGATCATTAATTATTTGGACGCTTTAATTAAAAAAAAAACTCACTGTGGATTTATGAGGGTCTGCTGGGGGGCAAGGACAAGGAGCCCTTTAGTGATTCTCTCATTTGAATGAGAGTGAGGGTTGTGGAGGTCTAGAAAGGGAGGGTATAGAATCATCTTCCAAGAAGGTCTTAAACCCAAGTTAGGGTTTATTTGATGGAGGAGGGGCTTACAATGAAGAAAATGGAAAGGAACACAAGAAAACAGAATTCTGGGACTTGCCAAATGCACTAAGGGGGAGGGCATTTAATAAAAATCAATGGTTTAGCAGGGAGCCATCAGCCATCAAGAGCTCCTGAATCAATACCTTTCACATCAAAACTAGTAAGTCCTCTGGGTTGAGGTGGGGGAAGGGCTGGTTTCTGGAACATAGGATTCACTGAACCAGAGAGAGACTCCAGGAGGGGAGTTTGTGGGTGGAATGTTGAATGCCCAGAAGGACAGATGGATGTCTTCCTGTTTCAGAACAGCGAGGTAGCAAAGGTATAACATCCGCTTCCTTTCTGGGGCATGTTTTGCAGCCTCAGCCTTCTTCTGTAACATAGATGTGTGTCCCTCCTGGGTCACACACACGTTCCACTTCCTGATATCCTGAAAAAGCTGTCACACTCCCAGAGAGTTGCACTCCTGGGTGCCTCTCCACAAAGGTTAATCTCAATGACAAGTGATCCTGGGTGGGGTTGGGAAGCCTGGGAAAGGAAATAAGCTCTTCTCCAGAGACAGCAGGAATTCCCATCTATCCAGCCCCTTGAATCCAGGAGCCTCAGAGAAAAGACTCAGCACATGTAAAAAATACTGATGAAAATTGCTTATCCTTAACATCAAAATGCATAGTAATGCCATATGCCAAAAAGAAACATACTGATTTGTGTGGATGGATATCTTTGCTAATTTCCCCACTTAGATTTTTTAAAACCCTTACTTTGGAGTGATTCAATATGAAAAGAAAAATGCCAAAAATCTTGAATGTTACTGATGTCTCTCCTTCTAAAGTGCACAAAATTATTTTGAGAGTTGTTCTTATGGTGCCAGTTGATTAGACCGTATTATTTATCTTATTTCGCAAAGGAGAGAAACTGAGTCCGAGGGATGTCAACATGCCAAATCCATGAAATATTCGTGGGCTGGAATTCTAGCTGCCTGAAAAAAGACACTCCTCTCGAAAGACCTCACAATCATATCCATGGGATTATAGCACTGGGCTCTCCAGATGGTGCTACAGGAAGAGCTCCAGAAATTTTACAAGTAAGTTATTTGTTCTTCCTTACAGCCACTTCCCTGCAAAGGTTGGCTTTATGCATTTAATTTAGAGATGAGAAAAATAAAATTTACCCAAATTTTTGTAGCAAGTCCATTCGGGGTGTTTATGGTGGTGTTTGCTTTGTCTAAAGTTAAGGGCTGGAGAGGTCATAACAAATTGAAGATAAACCTGGCTTCAGTTAATTGATGATAAAATAGTGGAATTAAAGATTAGAAAGCATAATTGATGGACTTACTTGACGTGAGAGCAAAAGCAAGCTTTCATGTCTCTTCCCAGCCTCCATAGATCAAGATGGGAGGAATGTAGCTGGCAGACAGGGTTATGAAGCCCAGGGGAAAGAAATGGCTCAGATTCAGCCTCACAGGTGGCGAAGGGAATGGGCCATAGCTCAGGAATTTTCAGGTTCCCCGGGGTATGCTGTCCACCTCCACCAGTTGGGGAAGGCAAGGGACATCAGCAATGGGTTTTGGCAGGTAAAAATACAATGACGTGGCCTGGAGAATGTATTCCTTTATCTCAGTTTTGCCCACAGAGGGAAGCAAGGGCTTCACTTTGGCCTGGGATCTACAGGGTGCATTGCTGGCTGCCACTGACAGGAGTTGAGTATTCCGTACAGCACTGCCCAGGCCCAAGGGACCCACCAGTTTTCACTCCAAAGTACATGGTTAACAGCTAGTCACACACATATTTGCACCTAAATTCAAGATACTACCTTATGACAAAGTTTAATCATCTTGCTTATAACTCAGGGCTTAGAGGATATAACAAATTTCAAAGTGTTTAGTGATGAAAGAGAAGATATACTACTCAAGAGGCATTTGTTTGGACCAAACCCTGAAGCAGAGCCACTGTGTCTGAAGTCCCTTTACCTGGAGCCCTCTTTCCCCTCGTCTTTACATGATGGATTCATGTTCTTCATTCCTTTCTCAGTTCAGGGTCAGACTTCCTGAGAGATGCTTTTCTGCACCCCTTGGTCTAAATTAGGTCTTTGTGTTTGGTCTATTAAAATGCCCTCTGTTTTTTCTTCATAGTACTCATCATGTGAAGAAACAATTACATTCTATGATAAGCTATTCAATCCTTCTTTCTTCCAGTGGATGGTAAAGTCCTTGAAGATAAGGACCATGTCTGTGGTGCTCACAATAGATGTCTAGCACCAAGCAATATTTATTGAATGAATGAATGCCCTTGTCAGGAAACCCGTTCTAGACTGGGGTTCTGCCATTATATACCAGGATGGTCTTGGCCTTTTTGAGGCTCAGTTTCCTCATCTGTTAAATAATGCTGTTTGAATGCAGGATCTCTGAGGCCCCTTCTGACGATGCCACTCTACAATCCATTTTAACCTACTTGTGGTTCTGTGTTTTTTTGGCAATTCCCTTGGCTCTTCAATTCACCCTCCCAAATAATTCCAGTTCTCCAATGCATTAATGATAAGGAGATCTTTTACTGTTGATTCTTTAGTCCTCTGGGGGAAAACTACAGCTCACAGCTCTTAATACTTGACTCCACAACTTCCTATTTGATATTTTTTTTCCCTTGTTTTCCTTTTTGGCTCTCTGCTGTTTCCTCTTTCTTCTGGGCTTCTCATTACTCTCTGAATGCTCAAAAACTTTTGTAATTTATTTAGAGCAACTCAGCACTCTGCCCAAAACCCTTCTCTGTTCACCTGCCTCAAGGTATACAGTTGTCCTTGCTCAGATATCCCATGAGCTGGCTGCAGCAGCTCGTTTATTGTGTGTCTCTTTCCAAATCCATTTTCAGTGACATTATGCTGGTAGCTTGAAATCAGCCATGATGGGAGTATTTGCACCACGGAAATTGGCAAATGCTATAAATCAAAGTTTTACTTTCTTGGAGAACTAATTGTTAAATATCAGTTACCAGTACACCACTGTCCAAGCTCTTCCTTGTTTAGGAAGTTGGTTGAACCAAATGATTCTTTAACATCAAACAATGTTAAGCAGAGTAGCAGAAGCTAAGAAAGGTGCATATAAAATGGTAGCTGTGTTGGTTAAGTTTCAGGCAGGAAAACAGAATCTACGCCAGGCAGGTCAAGAGATGAACCTTAATATGAGACACTTGCTCCAAAGGTGTTGCCAGAGCAAAAAGGGCAAATGGGTGAGACAAGCCTTAGATTATCAGGAAGATATTTCTAGCTAGGGCTAAAGTGAGTGAGACAGGAAGTGACGGTAGGAGAGTTTAGGAACTGAGACTGCAAAGGGAGAGGCTTCCTGGTGGAAGTGAAACCCCAGAAGAGACCAGACCACTGCTGCAATGTCTCTAAAAACAGATGAAATAGGGGAAATACCTTGGCTTTTTCCTTCCTCTAATGTTCTTCTGAGGCCTCCCATTGGCCAAACTTAATCAGGAGCCAGATGGAACAGGAGCTTGGGAAATGTATCAGGAGGAGGCTAGCCCCTGTGATGCAGAACAGGGCAGAGCAAGTCTTGGCAATGAATCTGACAACAAACAGATAGGTCACCATTTTAATAACTAATATTATTCCTGGAGGAACACTCAATACCTTTCAGGTCACCACCAGTTACACTGATTTCCTAGAGCCCAGAGTTGAGCCTTACTCTATGAACCCAAATAATTCCCTGAGTCTGGCTCCCAAGTCCATTCTACAGGGAAGAGGATTAAGTTCTAAAAACTTAAAATTTTGCTATAGCTTCATGAAATTTATCCCAAGAACCAGGAACTATCATGATTTATAGAAAGGTAGACGTTCTATTAGCTTTTATTCATGAGGCATCTGAGATTTGTTGAATGATCCGACGTTCAGGTTAGAAGCAGCCACGAGTCCCTGAAGAAGCAGCCGAATGCAGCAGGGGAGGTCTGTACTCCAGTCCTGGATTTGTGGTTTCCTTTCTGCGTGTGCTGGAGCAAACCGCTTATTGTTTGTCACCTCAGTTTCCTCATCTGCATGCAGTGATGACCATAATCCTGGCAATGACACAACTTTGCTGTGAGGCTCTCATGAGAGCAGGCAAGTGAAAACATTTTGTAAATTGGAAAGTGTTACAACTGTGCAAGGGAATATTGTTTAAATGACATTTCTCGGCAGGGTTCAGCTGCCTCCCACAGTGTGAAGGTCAGCTTACTAATGCCACCCTCATAGCAGAAATGGTCCCAACTCACATCTTTTATTTTTCCTTTTACTAAATTGGGAACAAAACCCTCATTGCTTATAAGTGAAAATTGCTAAAAGCTTCATCTAACTTAGAAATGCCTACAAAAATTTCACTCAATTTGCTTTACATTGTCTGCAGTGTGGAGGAAGAAGCCACCAGTGTTTCTCTAGAAGGAAGTATGCAATGCAGGCCTTGTGGGTTTGAGCCTCCAAGGGCTCCAGGGGCTGTAGGGTCCTCCAAAGGGCGGTGGGAAAAAGGTTCCTCAGGTTTTCGAGGGTGTGCTCTGCAGCCTTGCTGAGGAACGTTTGTGTATCCTATGTGTGCTGGTGCATTTATTAGAGGATGTGGTGGTGATGGCGCTGGGCACATAGGTTTCCGGTGCCAACAAGCTGCTTGCTTTTCAGAAAAAGTGAAGTTTTCCTTGGCTCCACTGCCAGCTGCTTTATCTGTTTTCATTTTAAAGACGAGTTTCCAAAGTACCATTTCCTGAAATCTCTTGGCTGCAGCCAGGTATGTGATTAGCAGTTGCAAGTCCAGGGAGAAGGTGAGCTGCCAGGGAGAAGTTTACAGTAGGGTGGGTCATCCGGAGGAGTGCCAATTGAGGTCTTGCCAGGAAGCAAAGAGAGAGCCAGAAACAAGGACCCTCCATGGGAAACGTTCTCCCTCCAGCTCCATCGGGAAATTCACATCTTAGAATTTTAGTTTGAATCATTAGTCTGTGCTCTTGTCAATTAAAGAGGGAATGTTGAGCTTCAAGTTTAACAGAGTGACACTAGTTGAAGAGTTTTTTTACATCAAGGCTTTTTGTTAACTCTCTTTACAATATGTCCCTGTGTTTAGGGGGCTCAACATGTCTTATCTTGACCCTTTCTTAGCGCACTTATGGCTACTTGGGTAAGTATTTTCCTTCCCCATCAGATTTTCAGTTCTGAGCTCATGTCACATTTATCTATAAACTCTCCAATGCCTAATACACATGCAATGCTTATTAAATGTTGTTTGCATAAATGATCAGATGATGAAAACTTAGAACCATTAGCAAGGTTCTAATTAGAGATTCCTTCTTTCCACATATGTTTATTGAGCATCTCATATATGCCAAGCCCTGTTACAAGCTTTGAGAAGATATTGAGAACAAATTATACATAAGTAATAGGAATGATCCTAGTGATAACTTCTTTTTTCCACTCTTTATATCCCTGGCTGTTGAGAACTTCTGATCATGCTCAGGTTCTCTGGTCCTGTAATTCCCACGTTTCTGGCCACTTTTCCATGTGCAAAGCCTGTCCTAGGTGTTGGGACTTACCTTGTTGGATTTCCACAGGAGATGAATAGCTCCAGGCTAGTTAGTAAACTGGGTATCCCACTCAGCTCTTCTATCTGACAACAGGATTTTAATCAATTCCCTAGTTATTTATTTCCCACTGTGTGGTCTCAGAAGACTGAATTAGACTCTGTGGGTGTATGTTACAGACAGGTAAGTTTTTTCCTCAACTCAAGGAAGAAGTTCCTAATAGAGCTGCCTGGCAATGAAGCAGACTCAAAAAGTAGTGAGCTCCCTGCTCCTGGAAGTTCTCAAGGAGAGACTGGACAGGGAACTTGATGGGCTGTAGGGGTGGTTTCTACTTTGAGTAGCAGAGAGAACAGTGCACTGCCATGACCCCTTAGAATTTGAGGTCAACCATGGTTCAAGCATTTTGATCTCTGATGTGGCCCTGCTCATTAGGCACCAGGTTAGCTACTCATGCCATCACCCTCAAAATGTCAGAGGAGCTCCCCTGCTCTTTCCTAACTCCTATCTGCCAGATCCGCAATTGCCTATTTCAGTATAACCTAATGGATTCCCAGGAGGCTCAGCCTCCCTTACCAACAGATCAATGGTGGCAGCTCCTGGAGGCTGCTTTGAGAGGTGATTTGAGACTGCATGGGAAGCTATGGTCATTTAGCCATGTCTTCCAGGCTAGCAGCTGTTGCATATAGACTCACTATCCCTGATCATCTCAAGTCTTTTTCTCCTTGCATATCCTAAACAGCAACCTTTCTGCTTTAATCTTCCCTCTTGCTGTAATTTCCAAGAGCTTTTGTTTCCTTTCACTCTCTCCTAATGGTTCTGAAATATGGCTCTCTGCTCTTCTATGAGATAGACTTTTCTAGGACCATGTTACTCATAAAAATGGCACATTGAGACTTGAGTGGCGAGTAAAAGTCTTTGGAAAGTCTGTTATTTCCTTTCCTCTTTCTTTTTTCTATCAACTGTACTGATGCTGAAGTCCCATAGGGTCTTACTAAAATGGAAATACTATCCCACCCCCAACCTGGAGGCAGTAACACAAGTAACAGCCAGACTCTAATTGTTTAGTATGGAATATCTATGCTATTCCTTTTCCTCTGACAGCATGGGGCCCTGGGTATAGAAGCCAAGAAGAAAAAGGAGGGAGCCAGGGTTTTACCACAAAGCAGAGAAGGGAGTTGTGTGTGTATGTGGGGAGGTGGAGGTGAAGGGGAGGCAGAGTCCCACAGATCAGTAGACTATTTCAGTTCAGAGGAGCCTTGGAGGTCTAGTCTGGCTGTCTCATACATATGGGGAAACCATGGCCACAAGAGGGGAACAGACTTGACCAAAGCCACAGTGAGAAAAGCACACATCTTATCTTTGCTCAGTTTGCCTTTAGGAGTCTCTAAATGTTTCTGTATAGGGGTCTTTCTCAAGATGGAAGTAGGTTTCCTCAAGCTGGAAAATTAGGATAGAGGATGGCTGCCACAGTTTTGCAGAAAGGCAGACAGCATTACAGAACTATACCTCAACCACAGAAGCCAAATCAAAGCTAATCAGTGTCCATTCTCTGGTTTGCATATTTTGAAAGCAATAAATAGTAATTTTCTTGTTCATAGGAAGCATAGGACAACACAAAATGATGCTCTTGAATTTCTATCTCTGGATGGCATATCTTATGTTATACATCTTCTCTGGCCCTTATCTTCAACATTTTGGCCAATAGAAATCCTAGCACAAGGTTGATACTCCCCAAATGTTTGCAAAGTAGGATGAAAATCCACCCTTTCCTTTTGTGGGGCGTGAGGTGGTGGGGGGTGAGGGAGAGAGAGAGAGAGCCAAGAGGCATCGCCTACTAATTGATGGATTCCGTGCATGTCTTAGAAGAGCACTTTGCAGACAAATGACAAACGTTGGGACCGTTTACTCCCCTTTCCAAAGGTTTAGTGGAACAGTAGCTAGGTATCTTTCTCTGGGCTAAATTTGTCCTGTATAACCATATTACTGCTGAGAAGCATAGAGGCTCAAAATGGTCTTATAATTCCTTTCTCCTTTGGGGGAGATTGTCAATGTATTTTTTTCAACAGTCTCAGAATCCCAGTTGTTTATAATAACTAGAGATGGCAGAACCTGGCTGAAGTGGGAAGGCTGAATTTTATCTAACCTCTAATTTAGTTCTCCTCTCAAGTTTGTCCAAGTTCCTGAGACGCCTTTTCTCTGTAAGTCAAGCCATTGTTTGTCAAGGGAAATATAAATTAAGAGTTCTGTTCTCTGAATTAAATGGAAACTTGGGCTAGGGAAGCAGATTCTTCCTATGCTCCTCAGATCTCTAATATAATATAGGAACTGAAGTCATTGTGGGACTTAGACATGATGGATTCTAGAGGAATCCAAAACTCAAAGAATGTGGGAGTTATGCAAAGCCAGAAACCCAGCCTAAGTTTGACTCATCAGAGCTCTTAATAATCAGGTTGGAAATTCCACAGCATTATTGAAAGGGGCAAGTCCCTTTCTTTCTTTTTAGACAAAATGGATTCTGAAACCATCCATATTCTCTAATTGGACTCCCAAATGGACAAGCCACAGGCCATGCCCAGACCAACAACAATGATGCCATGGTCATCCCCATGTTTATTGGAGAAGGGGAGCTAAACTTTTAGCACTACATGAGCTGTTCAATTATGGATCTCTGGATTGTGTGATTTGGAAGACACACAACTAAGGAATAACTCTGGCCAAAACTGAGTTTGTAAAACTGGTGTTGAGCCAATGAGAAGTAATACAATCTTCATTTCTCTTTGCAGGGCTAGAAATGACACTTGTAGGCTTTAAGCCTATACTGTGAAAGACAAAGAAAATGGAAAAAGTGTTCTTTCACGGACACTTACAAGGTACTAAATTCCATCTTTATCACTTCTGCAATCTGGTGACCTAGCCATTGAACCAGTATTTCCCACGAATCTTCGTAATAGTTACCTTCATGTACCTCACAAAACATTAAGGACAGATGATGAGCAAAGCTAATACAAAGTTTTGACAGCCTAAAAACTAAAGCCTTATTTACTTAAATTATGAAAGCTGCCATAGTAAATAGACATTTAATTCAAGTAAGTCCCCTTGGGACAGTGTTTTTTTTTTTTTTTTTTTTTTTTTTTTTTTTTAACCACTATTATAAAAAACACACCAGGCCAGGTGTGGTGGCTCACACCTATAATCCCGGTACTTTAGGAGGCCAAGGCAGGAGGATCACTTGATGTCAGGAGTTCAAGACCAGCCTGGTCAACATCATGAAACCCTGTCTCTACTAAAAATACAAAAACTAGCTGGGCATGCTGATGGGCTCCTGTAATCCCTGCTACTCAGGAGGCTAAGGTAGGAAAATCACTTTAACCCAGGAGGTGAAGGGTGCAGTGAACCAAGATTGAACCACTGCACTCCACCCTGGGCGACAGAGTGAGACTCCATCAAACAAAAACAAAAACAAAAACATCCACACACACCAGTGGGTAAAATGTTTTTTCTGGTACTCTACTTCCAAATCCACTGTATCAGAGATTCTAGGGTTGGGTCTCAGAAATTTGCATTTTAAACAAAGTATTATAATAGATTTAGTAGATGGTATACTGTGCACATATATGTACTATGATTTTTTTAAACACAGTAGATATTCTGATTAAAAAATATGAGTCGTATTTCAGGGGGTGCCATATTTATATAGCTTTGGGTTCTGATGTACTCTATGAATCAATAGATATTAATCATAAGACAGTGGTTTATAAAATTTCTTGGTTTTTAAAAATAATGTGCACACAGAAAAAGTTGGTAGCCATGCTTTAGAACAAATAAGTGCTGAAGGTGCAAATTACTGATAGCATCTTCCTGAGATTGTGTATGGATTCAGCTTGACAGACACTTGGTGGAGGCCTCCCATATGCTAATTACTGAGCTGAGAATTATCCAGCTATTGATAGGGGCCGGGCTCCAACACAGGTCTGAAGACCCCCAAGTTTAACTTCTACCTACCTACAATTGTCCTCTGGAAGAAATGAGAGCAGAAATGTTCTGACTTTATGAGGAGGAGGGATGCCAGGAAAGTGAGTAGGGGAAGAACTCTAGAAGTAGGATGACTGAGCTAGAGACATTGAGATTTAAGGTGCCTAAATATTTTATAAAGACTTGCTCTCCCTATGGATATAAATTACATTGTACCTGGCTGCAGCCCTCACCTCATGGTTTGGCCTGTTGTTCTGCATGTTGTAGTAAGAGTTCTGGGTTGTGCTGTAATGAATAGGATAGGAGAAAGCCTCGGCTGACAGGAGTGGTTAGCTTGAGTGATCTGAGGCCTGGAGAATTATGACTTAAGGATGAGGTGGAAATTGGCACCTCATTGCTTTGTGAGGCTACTCTGACTTGTGCCTTTCCCCTTCTAGGTGCCAAGTTGCGAGATTAGCTCTATTTCTTTGGGGTGGGACTTGCTCTTTAGAAAACTAGTGGTTCCTTAGTGTCCCAGCACCACGCCCTCCTCCCTTTGCTGTTGATATTGACCGCCCAGCCTGTACACACTACCTTCAACTGCTTGCGCAATGATGTAGCCTGACCCCTGGAGCAGAGGGCTGGAAAGTCCTTGTGGGCTGTCCTTCTGTGGTTACTTCAGGGTAAGTCTCTTTGGTCCTGTCCTCCAGGGCTTGTATGAAAAAATCAGAGCCCTTTCAACTCTATTTCTACTCCAGTTTATTGAACACATAGATTAAGTAGAAGCAATTTCAGAAAATAAACCATATATGCTGCTTAGATTAATTATCTAATAGTTTTCTAAGAGCTAAAAATGACAATGTTTCATTGTCACTATTTCAATGCTGGGAGTATCGAAAGCTCCTAACCCCACTTTTGTGTATTTATAAACATAGAAGAAGAGTTTAAAGATATTAACTGACTTTTTCCCCTCCAATAATTTACTACATCCACTCCCTAGCCCCTGTTTGTGCCTGAGTACACATGCGTGTAACTGCATAGGCATGTACACACACACACTTTTCAATTCAGTATTATGTTCTCAGGACAAAGAAGGGCTAAGGTAGTGCTAGAGAATAGAAATAAAAGGCTATTTGTAGCTTTTGTCTTTAAAGCCCACAACCTTAGGGAGATGGGGAGAACTCAAAACACAGAAAAAAAAATGCCTGAAAAGATCCATCCTAGAAAATGTTCCCACAGGCAGAGGTGGGGAAGATAATGAAAGGGAAAGTGGTAAGATCATACTTTTTGTGGATCATGGAAAGAGAGGCCCTGCTTCTTCTACAGAATCCCAGGCAGGAAATATCTGTGCTGTGAGTCTCAGCATATGGTCCCTTACTGAGATTTTCATGCCTTTGCAGGGCACAAATACAACATAATGGAACCTGTATCTGCAAACGCAGTAAGAAAAGCCCCTGGGCCTAAACAGGCAGGTGATAGGAGCAAAGGACAATTCAGCAGCAATCTGCTTGGATTGATAGCCACTGATAACCAGATGCTCAAAGAGTGTCTCTGTGAGCACTCAGGTGAACAGGTGGCCTGAGAGCCTACAGGCTTTTGTCCTCTATGAGCACCCAGACTTAGCCTCTGCCTTTGGAAGGTGATGGGTTCTTGAAAGTATTGAGCTTAAGTACATCAGAATAGCATCTTAAACTATAAAGTTAGTTGTTAACACTTCCCCCTGACCTCAGAGAGGTATATTTTCTGTACACCCTGGTGGTGGTCTGCAGGCTGGCACATACTATATAGGAAAGTCTACTGAGACTTGGAGAGCTTGTGTCTGCTCATTCACCCCATGCATTTGTACTAGACACTAGTGACAGAAAAAAAAAAGCATCTTCTAGGCATAGAGGGGGCTCATTAGTCACTTGGGGACCTTAAGTCCCTCACTACTGCAGCCAGCTTTAGAGATAGGGCCAAGGGAAGGATATGTTAATGCTCTCTGAGCCACAATATTTTCTCTTGAATCTTCATGATTTGGGAAAATGTGAGTTAGGATGGATGATAAAGACAGAGAGAAATATAACATTTGGCTATTTCTAGGTCCTCTCATTCTGAAGTCAAATACTCAGACCCACAAATGAGCATTTATTTGAATTCTTTTGTCTTTAATTTGATTCCTCAGATATATTCCGTTTAAAAGGCAATTTCAAAAGTGGGGAGGGGTGATTAATTTATGCTATTATAGGGTGGACATCCTTTTCATAAGTCTAGAAAATCTTTTGCAGATTTCAAAGGCTTCTTAACCTTTTCTGACATTTAAAAGCAAACAGAAACTGTGCCAAATAAAAGTGAGCTGAAAACAACGGTCAAGTTGATGTCCAACTGGAAGGAGCCTGATTCCTCCAAATTCCTTCCCTTTTACACACTCCACATTATGAAATGGTACCACAGAATGCTGACATCTCTCTTTTAAAACACACACACGCGCGCACACACACACACACACGCAAAAATCACTGAATTATCATGGTTAAAATAGGCCCAGGACAAACTGTCAACAGAACACGATATATTTTATCCCAGATAATATTTTATCCCTTTCTCTGTCATTAAAGTTTTAAGGGTGGGATTCAAAACTGGAAGGATTAGAGCAGGCTGTTGGGAAGTTTACAGCTGAACACAGACTCTCACTCTCATTCACTCTCTCTTTCTCTCTCCTCCTTCCTCTTCTCTTTAACAAGTTAGCAGCATGTGGCTTGCCCTTGTTCCAGCAGCGATTACTAAAATAAAAAACACCTTTGGCCATAAACACAAGTGAAAATTGAAACACGCTCATGAAAGTTTATTATTTTCGCTTCACTAACTTCACCCTACATGGAGAACTTTATTTGCCTCAGGAGGTCCTTAGGTCAGGTAATGAAAAAGCACAGGGGTGAGGCAATCCCAAATGATCAGGGTTGGGAGGCAGCTGGGGGGTGTTGTGCATCTTGGCCTTGGGCCTGCAGAACCACTCAAGTGTGTAGGCTTACCCATACTGGAAGCCCACTTCCTCCCTCTCTCTTCTTGGGGCTGCACTGCCTCGAGGGTCATGTTCAGGGAGCTGGACGTTGAGTTGGTTTTAAGCCAATCTGCCCTTCTGCTGGCTTGCTGGCCCAGCATTCAAGTCATATGGCTGATTCTGCAGACTTCCTGGAGCTTTGCTTTGACTTAAAGCATTTTTAGCCCCTAACTGGGATTTTCTCTCAAACTCAAAAGGAATAAAGGGAGGAGTGGAAAGGCAGATATCGAGAGGGCAATGAAGAGACACAGTGGGGAAAGAAGGCCTACATTCAAAGAGAGGTGGCCCAATTGGAATAATTTACTTCTGAGAAGGCAGGATTAACTGTTACCTGATAATAGTCCTTAGCCCTAGAGATGAGAGAAGATTTTAAACAGAGGAGGCAGATCTTTGTTTATATGAGAAAAATAAAGCCACTTCTATCCCATTTAAATGACCGTTATTTTAGTTGTTTTTGTCACTTGCAGCTAAACCTGGTCCCAAATAGACAGTCATTCATTCCAGGGTGTAGGCTGTCTCTCTCAGAGATGGAACACAAGGTTAGGAGATAAGCCTTCCAGGACCTATGTGATAATTCTGCCCTATAACATTCTTGCAAACCAAGTCTCCATGGAGCTCATCACTCTACCATCTCTGGAATGTGGCCCTTATCATCGTGGCCCAAGATGGTGCCATCTATATTTGAGGCAGCAGGTGGAGAAAGGGACGATAAAGAAGAGGCCAAGAGAGCATGCCATCTGTCTCCTAAGGGAGATTACAGGGGGCTGCCATATGACACATGCATTTATATCCCATCGGCAAGAAGTTAGTTCCTTGGCCACACTTATTGCAAAGAAGGCTGGAAAATGCTATCTTTTTTATGAGTAGCAATACACTCAG